TGAGGCAGTCCTGGGAAGCTCCTCACTTCAAGATGTGACTTCCCTGCCCTGTGTCCCTAATCCATCCCAATGCCCCCTAGGACAAACTAGGGGTGTTTCTGCAAGGTTAGATCTTCAGTCTCTCAAGCCAAAGCTTTCTCGGGTTACTGCATGGAAACTTATTTATATTAAAAATGAGAAATGCTGTTTTTTTTCCTGAAGTCCTTATGAGATAACTACATCACTAAATAAAAGCTCAGAGCAATTCTGACTTTATACAAATACATACACCAACACAAATGGAAATGTTAAACAGTTTCAAAAGTGCAATCACCTGGGTGCAATGGCACATGCCTGTAATCCCAGCTGCTCAGGAGGTTGAGGCAGGAGGATGGCAAGTTCAAAACCAGACTCAGCAACTTAGCAAGGCCCTAAGCAACTTAGAGAGACCCTGTCTCAAAATAAAAAAAAAAAAATTTAAAAAGCTGGGAATGTGGCTCAGTGGTTAAGCATCCCAGGTTCAATCCCTGTACCAAAAAAAAAAAAAAAAAGTCATTATTATACACCTTCTCAGAAAGCAAGGAAGAAGAGAAAAATGGAGTGAGGGATGTTCTCATGCAGCATGGTTCTCACCCATCTCCAGGTGTGAATCTCTGAGCGTGAGGAAGTCCGTCATGCAGGCTTGTTCCCTATACCTGCCGCAGTGTGAAGCCACTCCACTTCTGGCCCCGAGGAAAAGTTCTCTTTCCTTGCAGCAAGATAATGTTTTAAAAAGCTGACTTTTAAACCTCTTACTGAATTTTTTAATGGATTAAATTCATCATGTCACCAGCTGCTGTGCAGCTAATAGAGCCATAAAACACTGTATTAAAGGATTACCCATGCAAAATTTCCTCTGGTGCTAATGTGAATTTTAATACTTTTAACATTTAGTTGAGATGGGAATGTCCGAGAACAGCTTGTTCAATAGGTTGTTCTATAAAATTAAGTTCCTCGTCTCATCAGAAATGCCAGGACTCCATTAAGTTAAAATTTTACAGAGAGGCTAAGATGATTCACTGTGAAGCATTTGTGAGGAGAGAGACAACATCTGCTTCTACATTAGTGCTATAAAAAAGAGAGAGAGAGAGAGAGGAAAGAAAGATAGAAGAGAAAATCAAAACAATCATGAATCCCGTAAGTTCACAGAGACTGGGTTGAACAGAGGAAAATGCTCACTTCAAGAAGATCAATTTCCACAACCCTCAAATCATGCTGGTTATTGGGGATGCCTAAATTTACGTCCCCATGAATGTCATATGTCAAAAGGTGAAAATGTCTTAAAATACACAAAGTGGTTGATTATACAAAGTCATACAGATATCATGTTTTGCATAATGAAAAATGTGATTATGTGAATCGAGATGACAGGAAAGAGAGCAGAAGAGAAAGTGAGGAACAATCACAGGAGAACACTGGAAATGATGTAGCTCACCTTCTTTGGTGTAGAAGGCAATGCTGAGATCTGGAGATGGTCCAGCTTGCCCAAGGTCACACTGCTAATCAGCAGCAGGTCAGAGAATAAAACCCAGATCTCCCAACATCCACATAGAGTGACCATGAGCCTATCTTGCACCTATCTAAAAACACAGGTATCGATTTTGTCACTATGAAATGGCTTACATATTAAATGACAATAAGAATCAATAAATGCACAGTGGTAAGGTCAAAATCCTCCTGTGGAAAGTTTATAAGCTAAAAAAACAAAGCTGTCTATATTGTATATATTGTTTCCAGAATAGTTCCCAATCAGACCACCTTCCAAATATTTAACTTGAAATTTTATATTCTCAATTTTGTCTCCTCTTCATTTTAAGAATGACCCTTTGAATCCTGACTATAACTCTCTCTCTCTCTCTCTCTCTCTCTCTCTCTCTCTCTCTCTCTCTCTCTCTCTCTCTCTCTCTCTCTCTCTCTCTCTCTCTCTCTCTCTTTCTCTCTCTCTCTCCTTTCTTTTGGTACTGGGGATTGTACCTAGGGGTGCTTTACCACTGAACACTGAACTGCTTCCCCAACCCTTTTGATTTTTATTTTGAGAAAGCATCTTGCCAAAGCTGCTGAGAGACTTGCTAAGTTGCCCAGGCTGACCTTGAACTTGTGATCCTCCTGCCTCAGCCTCCCTAGTCACTAGAAATTGACCTTCTTGAAGTGAGCATTTTCCTCTGTTCAACCCAGTCTCTGTGAACTTATGGGATTCATGATTGTTTGGCTTTCCTCTTCTTTTCTATCTTTCTTCACTGTAACTCTTATCTGTGCATCTAAAACACCAAAGCATTTCATCCCTTGCTGAAGAAATCGCAACTTACAAATGAGGATGTAAAATCACTGAAGACTTTTTCTTGAATGTTTATCAATAATGGGTCTAAGTGTAATCCTCAACAGAAGCTGCAAATTCTCACCACAATTAAAGCGGCCATTAGGATGTGAACTGTGCCTTCTTTGAAAATACAACCCAGGGACAATCCGTTTTAATGGAAGTTCTCCAAAGCCAAGGTTCTTTACCTGGGTGAATTTTGTTCGCAGCACCACATTTTGTACTGTATGTATTACTGCTCTGAGAGCCTGTCATTTCTTATCAGAATGAGAAAGGCTAAAGAGATAATATTTCAATAACATACTGGCCTGATCATAAAATAACTCAATGGAAATGTGTATCTGCCTCAGGCAGCCCGGCAGGGTACTCAGCAGTCAGATGATTTCTATTCTAGGTTTTTTTTTTATGGTTACATTTTCTGTTATATCAGACATCCCCTCAAGTCTTAGTTATGCTTTTATTCAAAAGGGAGAACCGCAGTGTAAAGACCTACAAAACTTATTATGATATATTACTATACAGAAATAAAAGTAGCTGCCACAGTAGCATATTGATAAGGACAGGCCTGCCACATTAATTGACCTTTTTCCATCTCGCCCACCAGGGCTGAGGCCTGAGTTTCTCGGTTGCTAGGCAACGGGGGTCACCGTTTCCAGGTCTTAAATGCACAACCTAGTCAAAAAGAAGATGTGATCTTCAGAGAGAAAGCAGATACTCTCTGCTGCAGTAAGAATTGCAATACATACAGAGGGTTTTTTTGTTTTTGTTTTTGTTTTTTTTAATCATGCTGAAGGCTTCACTTTTGTCAAAAGATTGTGGGAACAGATTCTTAAGTTCTGGTGATTAGAATCCATTGCTGAAACAATGTGAAGAAAACACAGTGGAGCTTTTCTTTGATAAACGCACTGACATATGGCTTAGGATTGTAGCTGCCGGTGGAAGGATGATCAAACTCTCTTTCAGAACGCATGCACACAGATGTGTCAAAACACAGAGTGAACTTGGGAGATGGATTTGGGGGATTGTGTGGAGATGAGGTATTGGGGATACTTTTTAACATTCTTTCACAGACAGACAGTGCTGCAGACAAGCACCAGGGCCCCTAAAGGTCAGCTGTGAGAAAGCTCATTCACTACCCTTCCTCCATCTCGAAGCCAAAACTTCCTTTAAACTTTAATAAAGGGCATTAGAGAGAACCAATTTCTCAACCAGAAAGAGATCCCGCACCCTATGTGATTGCATTTGACAATAAGCTCCATAGGAATGTATTAAACTTCCGTTCTATAACCGTAATAGCTTGTCATTCAAGGCCACTTTTTTTAAACATAAAATTTGGTAGATTTAAATAAAGAATAGGCAAGAGAAGGCTTTTGGATTTCCTATCCCATGATTTATTTGAATATTTTTGCCCTGGTAAAAGAGCAGCCACGGTGATTTCAATACTCAGGGCATAACGATAATAATATTGGGATGAAGAGACATAGTATTTAACTCCTAATGTTTTAATTTGCAATTTGTTTGATGTGATGTTTTGGAGGGAAGAAGAATAAAAATGTGTGTGTGTGTGTGTGTGTGTGTGTGTGTGTGTTGGGAGAAGAATAACTAATTATAAACTACAGATGGATAATTTGGAATCCAGACTTTAAAGAGATGGATAGGAGGGCTTCCCAGTTTCTTTCACTCTGGGCCACATCTAAGTTCTTATAGATCCCACGTGATTTCAGCCCTGGCCACTAGATAGACATCCCGGCTCATATAAATAGCAATGAGATAGCCAGGGGGCGAGTCATGTGCCTGGAGACTGAGGCTGTCAGATAACTCTAATGATTTCTTTGGCCCTTCAGGGTGAAAAATTTACTTCATACTTTTTTTGTCTAATATTTGCCATTTTCCTTTCCCTGAAGATAACTGTCATTTTTAGATATGTCTGCTGCCTTTTCCAAGTTGTCAGCCTCGAAAGAACATAAAAATGAGGCGGTTGGAAGAGACGCAGACCCCGCTGCACTAAGCCACAGGCACTCAGGAGCCTGAGAAAGCCTGAGCGAGAACCTTCTCCGTCTATGCCAAGTGTCCCCCTCCGAGCCCTGTGCACCCGGTTCTTTAAAATCCACAGATGCTACCCTTTGTTAAATCTTGAGCATGACTTCCTGAAACTCACAGGTCACAGGGGACAGGAATGGGGAAAGTCACCTTTCAACAGAGTAGTCTCCTGTAGTCCTGAGGACCCTGGACAGTGATCTGTTCTCTGTGCAGAGACTGTCTGGCTGGTCTCCAAGGAGATACAAGCAGAAGAGAAAATAAGAACTTAGAAGCTTCCACTGCAATAGAAAGGAATCACTGTATGCCTGTTGAATCTAATAAGAAAGAAAGAAAGAAAGAAAGAAAGAAAGAAAGAAAGAAAGAAAGAAAGAAA